AAGGGACGTTTTAACCACTGTGCCCAATACTCTCCCCTAAAAATTATTTCATATCCTTCAATAAAGTTCTATCTTTTTTGATATAGGTTTTATATGTTTCTCATAATATTCATTACTGAGCATTTTACAGCATCTATAGCTATGTGATGTTTTCTATTCCATTTTCTAAATGGCTATTATTTCTATACAGGAAATCTATTGATTTTATAAAGTGGATTGTTACCAAATAACCACATGCAAAAATATGCTCCAGATAAGCCGTAATACTAAGGGTAAAATATGAAACTATTATGTTAATTTAAAATAATATTACAGAATATATTTGTGATATAGAAGCAGTGAAGGATTTCTTAAACAAACAACAAAAACAAACCAAAGCAGAGCCAAACAAAATCTGCGGAATTTGATTAAATCAAAATTAAAGTTTCCAGTTCGGTGAAGGAGACAAACAGGCAAATAAAAGATTGAAAGAAAACTCCATCAATGCCTAAAGCAACAAGGATTAACATCCAGAATATGCAAGGAACTCATCAAACCAGTGACAAAAAAGTAGTAAACCCAGCAGAAAATGGGCAAGGGATTTGAATTGGTTCTATCTAAAAGACTTTTGAGCACATAAAAACATGATAAAAATTATTAGTGATCTGATACAAGAAAATTAAAATGAGTTAGCACTTACTACATTGGACAAAAGTTGAAAAGCTATAGATATTCAGTAGAATGTAGAGAGCAGAAATGCTAGTGGACTGCTTGTGGGAGCATGATGGATGCAGCTCATTGCTGCTTGGTCAGGTCGTAGATCTAGATCTAGACATACGGGTCCTGTGACCTAGCACTTCCTCTTTGGGGCACAGATCCCAAAGAACCCATCAAACAGGTTCCTAAGGTGATGTATGAAGTTTTTCATCCCAGGGTTTTGATGAGGATTCAGAGGAAATTTGGTTGTTCATCACTGCCAGCGTGATGGATGCACACCATGGGTTACAGTGCAGTCTTTGGAGGCAACAGACTGAGTGATAACAGTGCTTGGGGGGGAGGGGGAAGGAAAAGTGAAAAATAAAAGTAGAATGAAAAGAAATGAATAAGTGAATGAACACATTTGGAAATTTTGAGAAACTGCAAAAAAATAACAACAATGATATTCCCCCTAACAGCCACACCAAATCTTACAGATGAGTTGGTTAACATAATCCTTAACAATCTTAGAATATACTATAGCAAAACTGACTTTCCTTAATACTAACAGATATTGAACTATCAAGAGTCTCCTCCTTAGTCATTCAAAAGTCAGAGAATTATTGCTTTGTGGTTCTGGTAACTCCCCAGGAGGTGCAGCTGAATTATAAATATTAGCTGGCTACAGAAGGAGTGAAGTCATGGCCCACGGTGGGAGGGATGCCCACCACTCGCTGATAGGAAGACACCACTGAGACCACCATGGATCCCCATCAGTCTTCTCTTTCTGGTACCTGGGAGCCAGGGTGCTTCTCTGTTTTGAGAGAGATGATGTAGTGTCGAGGAAATCTTTCTGAAATAGGAGCATCTACTAGGTAGGGTCTCACAATTAAACGGAAATGGAGGACAGAGCTCTGTTGGGTGGTGAGTATGAGGAGGTCACGATCCCCCCTTCTCCTCTGTTTGGGTAGTCCTTTCTCCAGCCTGGAGCATTGTATTCCTCCCTCCTCACCGTGGCCCAGGCAAGCATGACTGCCACGCAGCAAGAGATGAACTCAACAGGATGCAATCATAAAAATAATTTTATGTTTTCTCCTATGGCCCTTTCAAACCAACTCAGTGAGCTTGTTAAATCCAATAGATTTTCCAGTAACTTCTAGATTATAAAAAGTCCTCAATCACTTCAAGTCGCAAGAATAGTCTCTGTCTGGCCATTTAAAGGTACAGGCAGTTGAATAATAAAGCATTCGATCTTCATTTAAATCTGAGTCTTTCCTTCCTTGCACATGCTGCTTCAAACTGAGAACATAAACATGGGATAGGATGGCAACCTCAGCTGCTGCAGCTTCCACTTGGTGCTTTATCTTCTTATACCCTCTGCATTCCACCTCCACTTAGCCTCCACCTCTTCTGTGGTTGGAGCAAGGGGCAGGAAAAGAACTAAGGGAGGGTAAAGTTCCTCCTTCATAGAAAAAGATGCTGTCTGGCACTGCAAATCAGTGCAACATTTCAACTTTTACAGGGCGCAGAAACAGAAATTCTCTCATGTGTTTTTTATGAAATGAATAACATTGTCAACAAATACTGAAAAAGACAGTATAAAAAGTAAAATCATAAATATGCCCTTCAACTGTGAATAATGAAGCAATTATCCCAAATAACAAAGGACTTCAACAGAATTTACCAGAAATTTAGAAGATAATATCCTAGGACTATGTGAAATGTGTGTGAATGATGAATGGCTTTTTTGGGATAAGGAAAAATATCTTGATGCATTGCATAATAGGCATAGATATATGCTGGGAAAATACTATGAAAATTTATGACAACTTCTATAGATCTTAAAAAGGCAGTAGAGAAAATTTGACACTCAATGTTTAAATCTTTTAAAATTTATTTACTTCAGAATCAGAGAGAGAGAGAGAAAGAGAGAGAGAGGGAGAGACAGAAAGGGAGCCAGTGCTCCCATGGCCTGGTTCACTCCCTATTTGCCTACAAAGGGAAGGACTGGCCCAGGCAAAAGCCAGGAGCCCGGAACTCAATCCCAGTCTCCACACGGGTGACAGCAACCTAATTACTTGAACCATCACCTGTGTCTCCCAGAGTCTATCTTATTCTCAGGATGCTGGAATTGGGAGCCAGATCTGGGTATCAAACCTGAATACTCTGATATGGGATGCAGGCATTTTAACTGGTGTCTTAACTGCAAGGTCAGATACCTGCCTTTGACATTCACTCTTGATTTTGAAATTCAATTAAGTAAGAAAACATAGACCCCTCTTCAGCATAATTTTTAAAAGCACCCACTTAAATTCACAAAATAACATCATACTTAGTGGACAAGCTCTAGAAGTATTTCCATTGAAGTCAGAAATGAGAGAGGGTCCACTAAAAACCAGTATTAATTAGCATTATTCAGACTAAAGAACTAGCTGATAAAAATAGACAAGAGAAATATGCACTGGAAAAAAAGGAGGTGAATTTGTCATTCTTTCCTTCTTGTGTGCTTTTTAAACTTGGAATGCCAAACATAAATTAAAAAATTACCATAAACCAAAAGATTATTTAGGAATATTACTATAAGAACTTTACACCTAAAAATAATTAACTTCTACATATATGTTCAGCAAGCAATTGAATGATATAATAGAAAACTCTGTTTTTAATAGTAATAATAAGATACATTTCCTAGAATAAACTCAAGTAGAAATATGCAATGTCTGGAGAAAAAAAAAACTTTACAAAATCCTTGAGGTACCTAAAAATGATGACTTAGGAAAATAAGAAGTATGTGATATTCTTGGAGAGGGAGATGCCATACAATAAGGAAGTTAATACCTGACAAGTCAAACTACAAATTCAGTGCAATCACAGGGAAATAATAGTAGAGGGGTTAACAGAGATAGACAAGCTGATGTTTCTTTACTTAAGGCCATGGTCCAATATATAACTTCACTTTTTAATCCCCCAGATTGGTCACTTTCTTAGCATTTTACACAATTAATGGTTATTAAGATTCAGTCATACGCTCATCAAAGTTGGCCAACATTACCACAGTGTAGAGGACTTTTCCCTAGGACCATGCTACTCCTAACCATGTGTACTCATAAAGATTTCCTTTATTGAGGGTCAGTCGGTGAGAAAATTCTTTTTCTATCTTAATTTTTAAGGATATCTGAAATTATTTTTTTAATATTTATTTTTACTGTTTTGAATGTTTCTTGACTACATACTATGGGAGACTGATTTATTTTCTCCTTGTCACTTTCACATTGCTTCATCGTTTTCTGGTTTCCAGTCTTGCTGTTGCAAAATCAGCATCTGACTATTTCTCCTATGTAGGAGCTTTGTTTCTTCTCTTTGGCTGTTTTTAAGGATGCTCCCTGTCTTTGATACTCTGTAGTTTTACTGAGTCTAGTTGTGGATTTCTTTTTCTCTACTCTGCATAGAATTAGTTATACATTCTGAAGTTAAGGTTCATGTCTTTCATTAATTCTAGAAACTGCTCATCCGATAGTTTCCTAGCACCTCTTTCAAATTGTTTTTACTTCTAGAATGTCATTTAGGTCTTTTATAGACTTTTTTCAGTCTGTTCTTCTGTCTCTGATCCTCTCCTTTACTTCCAACTTTCACTGCCTCACCCCACTTTGCTATGAGTAGATTCTGGAAAATTTCTGTGGTTTGTCCTTAATTATCTCTAATTAACTGTATCTAATCTGCTTTTTAGGATATATCTTGCTTTTTAAACTTTAGCACATGTTTTTTTTGATGGAAGAGCTGTATTTGCCCAATTTTCAAATTGTTCTTTTGTGTCATGTAATTCCTATCTTATTTTTTCTTTAGTTTTTATTCCATAGATATCTTAAACACACATAATTCATATTCTTTGACTATTCTCTGATGTTCAGCAGGTATGAGTCAAATGTGGATGCTTACTTTACTCTTGTTCATGGTGGTTTGTTTCCTTCTATTTGGAGTTTTCAACCTATGAAAATCCAAAGAGGTCTGGTTTGAGGGATCTGGGGAATTGCCTACCATGACCATTAAAAGTCATTGTGTTTCCAACCACCAGTCTCTGTCTCTGTCTTGTTTCCACGTGTCTTTCTTTTACCCCCTTTAACATATTCTCCAATTTACTAATTCCTTCTTATATGTGTCTAATCAGTTGTTGGATCCACATATTGAGAAAATTTCATTTATTGCATTATTTTTTAGGTCTGGAATCCTCTTTTTTTCACTCAATCTCATCTTTTATCTCCTTAACCATGTTAAGTACAATTATTTTAAAATATCTGTCTAATGACTCTATTATATTATTCCCTACTGATCTGCTTTTATTCTAAATCATTTCCCTTTATTTTATTCATACTATCTTGCCTTTGTGTGTGCCTGGTTATTTTCCCATGAGTTCTAATCTTAGGGAAAAACTGAGGAAATCATCTGAAGCCTAGGATAGTTTGATCTTCCTTTAGAGGGGACCTACATTTGTTTCTGGCAGGAGACCAGGGCTTCAGACGTCCCAGACCACCTGGACCCAGCTTTTGGGATGCAGTGACTCTATACTTGGTTTTGGTCCCTGTGAGTTCCATTTTATCATAGTTCACTCTAAGTCCTACGATATATTTCTTTTGTGAGTATACGAGCCCTGCTTCTTTTAGTAATCCCTGAGTGCCAATATTTGTCTCTGTTTCACAGGATCATGAGAAGCTCTGCTCACCTCAGCTGCATCTTTCAAAAACAGTAGACATCCCAGAAGGAAAGAAGCTCCAAATGTAAGGTTTTCTGTTTTCTTCAGGTCTTGCTCTTTAATTCCTCATAATTTTGTCAGTTCTTTGAATACCTCAACTATTTATTGTATGTTTGCAACTTTTCTAGTTGTCAGCAGGAAGGTAGATTCTAATGACCCACTCTGCCATCAACAAAAGGACAGGTTCTTTTTCATTAAAAATCTTTCCCTGATTTTCTACCTTTTTCCCATTAATAGGAAGTCAACTGATACTGCTTGTCTCTTTGGTCTGCTTTGGTGTGGCTGAGTCCCTTCAGTGTGTGCTTTCCTTTGCATAACCGCTGTGATTTGGGTGTTGTTTGTCTCTCAAGGGTCGTGTGTCAGAAGCTTGGTTCTGAACGGGGTGATGTTAAGATGCAGTGGAACCTTTAAGAGTGGGGCTCAGTAGGAGATCATTGGGGGTACTGCCCTTGGAAGGATTTGATGTAGTTCTCTTGAGATCCCAGTTAGTTCTGTCAAGAGAGCTGTAAAAGAATAAACCCGCTCTCCAACCACCAGTCTCTGTCTCTGTCTCTCTCTCTCTCGGGCTTCTTGTCTCATCATGTGATCTCTCTCTCTCTCTCTCATGTGCTCCCACCATGCCATCCACCATGTATGACCCAGCCAAGGAACACCTCACCAAGGGCCAAACCAGTGATCACCCAAACTTGGGAATTCAACTTCCAAGTCCGTGATAAATAAATGTCTTTTCTTTATACTATTCCAAGCCACAAGCAGTTTGTTATAAAACAGAAATTGGACTAATACACTAACCATATTTTTTTAAAAAATTGTTATTCTCTTGACAGTTAAATCATGTTGTAAGCTTCATTGGAGAGCTGACAACACAGAGAAGTAGTGGAAAGGATAGCTGTTGCTGATCTTGTAGGCCAGCACAGGGGGAAATCCATTCACTCCCTATTGAGGTTTGGCGAGGAGTCCTCTTTACTTCCAGATCTCCTTTGGTTGCAATCATAATTTCTTTTCATTTTCTCTAGGATTGGAAGGATAGAAATCTGGACACACAAGTGACAACTTTGCACATAAGGATTCACAGGATTCCATTAGCAAAGCCACCTCTGGGAACTGTGAAGTCACAGACTTTGCCCTTAAAAGAGAAGTGCTGCATGGTTGGCTCCTGCACTCTCCTCAGGTCCCTGGAGAAGTGGAGTTTAATGCTAGCTCTCTGCCATGGACTTCCTGGAGAAATCTGGGCTCAGGGACATCTGCAGGCTGTCAGCCCTTCTGCCCTGACTACTTGTGGACTCCACAGACAGAACTGTTCTGAAGTTGCTTCTTGTCTCAGAATCCTCTTCTATATTCTGAGACTCATGCTTTCAGCTCTTTATCTCTTAATGGGATACAAAGAACACTGGGATGGGCTCTTTTCCAAGACCATGAAAACAATGGTGGTGTTGATTGTGAGAATAACAACAGTTGGAAGCATTAGTTGAGCACTTATTAAATGGTAGCCACCAGGATATATAATTTATATACACTACCTTTTTTACCCACCTTAAAAAAATCTTATACAAATGTTTTATTGACTTTACAGTTGTGAAAATTGAGGCTTAGGAAGGTAAATAACTTGTCTACTGTGTATTTAGTAAGTAGTAGTGCTAGGATTTCAACCTGGTAAGAGATTCCACAATGTATTGCTCTGATACATTTCTAAATGAAAATCATATACATATTTTCTGGTAAAGAATTTTATTTTATTTTATTTTATTTTGACAGACAGAGTGGACAGTGAGAGAGAGAGAGACAGAGAGAAAGGTCTTCCTTTGCCGTTGGTTCACCCTCCAATGGCCGCCACGGGCAGCACGCTGAGGCCGGCGCACCGCGCTGATCCGATGGCAGGAGCCAGGTACTTATCCTGGTCTCCCATGGGGTGAAGGGCCCAAGCACTTGGGCCATCCTCCACTGCACTCCCAGGCCACAGCAGAGAGCTGGCCTGGAGGAGGAGCAACCAGGACAGAATCCCTCGCCCCGACCGGGACTAGAACCCGGTGTGCCGGCGCTGCAAAGCGGAGGATTAGCCTAGTGAGCCGCGGCACCGGCCAAGAATTTTATATACATATTTGCTCTTGAAACCTTACAAATGTGTTAAAAATGAATTGCATTTAATGTTGTATTTAGTTAATCATTTAGAGATTCAAAGTCTAAAATGTAGAGATCATCTGGGAAACTCGGAATCCATTACAGCAAGCTTTTAAATTTCTTCTCTACAACCAACTAGCTGTGGAAACTTGAGAAGACCACGTGACATTTCTAATGGTTTCAGGTTCTCAAGAGTATAGTGAAAGTTGGCTTAACTTATCCATAAGACTCCTTGAAATTGAAGATTTTTTTGCAGTCTGAAATATATACAATTCAGGTGACTTTTAAAAACATAATTTATGAACGTTGTTTTGTAGGGGCCAGTGTTGTAGCACTGTGGGTTAAGCCGTCACCCACAATATTAATATCCTCCATCAGAGTGCTGGGTCCAGATTTGTATGCTCCACTTCTGATGCAGCTCCCTGCTAATGTGCCTGGGAAGGCAGTAGATGATGGCATAAATGAAATGCCACCCATGTGGGAGACCTGGTTTCAGTTCCTGGCTCCTAGTTTCAGTCCATCCCAAACTTGACGATTGTGTCCATTTGGGAACTGAACCAATGGCTGGGAGATCTCTCTCCTCTTCTCTCCCTCTTTCTCTGTCACTCTGCCTTTCAAATAAATACTTTTTTAGTAAGTTGTTTTGCAAACTCTTTTTTTTTTTTTTTTGACAGGCAGAGTGGACAGTGAGAGAGAGAGAGACAGAGAGAAAGGTCTTCCTTTACTGTTGGTTCACCCTCCAATGGCTGCTGCGGCGAGAGCACTTCAGCCAGTGCACCACGCTTATCTGAAGCCAGGAGCCAGGTGCTCCTCCTGGTCTCCCATGGGGTGCAGGGCCCAAGGACTTGAGTCATCCTCCTCTACACTCCCTGGCCACAGCAGAGAGCTGGACTGGAAGAGGAGCAACTGGGACAGAATCCGGCGCCCCGACCGGGACTAGAACCTGGGGTGCTGGTGCCGCAGGCGGAGGATTAGCCTATTGAGCTGCGGCGCCAGCCTTTGCAAACTCTTTATCAAGTAGAGTTGCCCTCTCTACTTTTAAATCAAATGGTCTTGTATGTTTCATAAATGTGGTTTGCCTTAAACAATACATACATTTTCTTATATAGATAAGGTAGGTTTGGCAAGTTGTAAAATATGTGTGGCAGACACTATGGGCTGTTTTCCTTCTATCTATCTATCTGTTCTGTCTAGCTTATTCATAAAAACTAATTTAGTTCAGCATGGCAATGTGCCCAGTTAAAAATTCGAGCTTCATCATCACACATCCAAAGAATGAACATGTGGCAAAGTACTTACTGGCCAATGAAATATAAAGGGACAGTTTCTGAGAAGTGTTTTATCTCTTGATTTCCTCTTTCTCCATACCCTCTCTTCCTACTTCCTACCTGGAATGCCAACAAAAGGCCTACAGGGCCTTCATGCATCTTGCAATGCAGTAGACAAAAATCACCTGTTGAGGATGGCAGAGTCAAAAGAAAGAAGACTGTATAGCACTGTTGAAAGCCTGGACAAGGACCAGCGCCGTGGCTCACTTGGCTAATCCTCTGCCTGTGGCGCCGGCATCCCATATGGGTGCCGGGTTCTAGTCCCGGTTGCTCCTCTTCCAGTCCAGCTCTCTGCTCTGGCCCGGGAGGGCAGTGGAGGATGGCCCAAGTGCTTGGGCGCCTGCACCCGCATGGGAGACTGGGAAGAAGCACGTGGCTCCTGGCTTCAGGCCAGTGCAGCACCGGCCATGGCAGTCATTTGGGGGGTGAACCAACAGAAGGAAGACCTTTCTCTCTGTCTCTCTCTCACTGTCTATAACTGTCAAAATAAAAAAAAAGTCTGCACAGTATATTTTCAGATTTTTCTGTCATAATTGAACAATCCACCATATTTTAAATCATCAAAGATAGGGTTTTGCTGCCAAACACATTCCTAGTTGATGAACAGGGATTGATTTTAGTTCACAATAGGAGAGGGAGATACAAGGCATGTTCCTTTTTCATTCTCAAATTTCATTTTCTCTGACTGTTCACCCACCTGATTGGTGGGAAGTTAATCATAAGTCATTTCTGTGGTTGCTTTTCTGTTCTCTCAAAAATTCCAGATTTATGGGCACTTAACAACACACATAAAAACAGAGGAAATATCAGATCTTGGTTCATAGTGGCTATACTCATTCAGCATTTATTTACTGGTTTTCCAGGTGCTGTCTGAAGAACTGAATTACACAACAGAAATACTGTTAGTGACAAACGTGTGGTCAAGGCGTGGCCCTCAGGCTGTAGCTGGGTGTCACAGATGGAGACACTCTCCATGACTCTCCACCCACTGGTCACACACACTTGGGGAATTCATGCTCCCTGGTCTCCTGACTTGTCTGGTAATTCCATCTGGGCATCCTTTGCTGTCCAGCTAAGGGAAACTTATAAAACCCTATCCCTATACTTGAGTTTAAGACCCTTCATTGTCCCTGGGGTCCAGAAGATTCTGATTTATCTGCTTTAGACAGTCCCTGAACCCTTCCACAACAAAAAGGATCCAGCTTAACTCTGAAGATACTGGCAAATGTGTTTATATTTATTTTTATTTATATATCCAGGCATACAGATGGGATGACTGAGCCATCCACCTAGGAAGCAGCAGAGACAGGGTTTGGGTACAGATGGTCTGGCTCTGGTCCCAGCTCCTAGCCACTGTATGGCAATACAAAAGACCCTCGCCTTCTGCTTGCTCTTGGGTATGGATAAATACATCTGAACTCTTAAAAGTACAGAACTGATCTCTTTCTGGGTGAGAGGGGGGGAAGGGATACTAACTTTCAATATCTTTTTCTTGTTAACTTACTCTGTTTTATATTCAATGTGGAAAAATGTTACTTTAAAAAAATCCACTAAGTTAAGCTTCCTGGGTCTTTCTCATATTAAATCGAGGATAGTCATACCTCCCATGACTTTGTCTCTATGTTTTACCTGATTAAGATTCAGTGACAAAAATAAGGTATTAACTAAGATTTTTGAGACCTTTAGGGAGAAACGTGATATTATAACAAGAAAATTGATATAACAGAAGATACCTTTGTTAGCAAAATGAATTTTAACTTTGGTATCCCTAGATGCTGCCTACTCAGCTCTCAGGAAAATTTATTTCAATCTGGAAGAAAATAGGGACCCTGCCAACTATTATTAATGTTCGTTTGCCTTTTAATTGAAGCACACTCCTGGAAAATGTCGTCTGTCTCTAGGGAAATATAATGCACTCAGCATAAGAACAAATCTTTTCTGAGAGAGTCAGTTCCAGGGATTTTTCTCACTTCTCAGTCATCCCACAGTCTTTCTGGCTTATCAGCTCCTTTTTCTTTACTAAGTGGGGATGGTATTGCATACATTGGCCTCTTCCAGTAAATCATCCTTTTGTAATTTGGCTTTCCTTCCATCTCAGATTCCCATCAGAGGGGTTTTACCTCCAGGCATCTTGCAACCAATTTCCCCCGTAATTAATGCCGTATCTGTCTCAGAGTCCATTTCAACTCCCAAATGAAAATTGATGAGGCAGCCAACCACAAATAAGGATCACATACCACTGATTAAACTCTCAGTCTAGTTCCCAGGCTGTCGCTCTGAGTGCTGAATCAGAACCAGTGGGCGCGTTTTCTGGTCTTTTGCAATGTATATTGCTCAGAATAAGTGTCCATCAATTGCCATTAGCAGACGAAGAGAGGGATTTTATATGACCCCTATCAGATTCTAGCAGAAAGGCAAATGATTAAAGAGGTCTGTGTTACAGGAACTCACACAGCAGCACATGAAGACAGCGTCTAGACTTGATTAGATGAGCCACAAACAGCACTAAACGTCACCAAGAAGAGGAAAGCTGCTCGCCTAGTGCCCTGTTCTCATCCTCCTGGATTGCAGCTGGGTAAGTCAGGCAGCTACACATCGCCTAGGGAACAAAGAGACAAAAGCCTCTACCCACCCACTTTCCATTGCAGGCTCTAGGGCAGGACTGGGATTGGAGGTTGAAGTATGGGGCCAAGCGGTCAGGGACAAGAACTCAGGCACTCACTCACTCACTCAGTATCTCTTCACTTATTTCCCAGGCAGTGTGTGAGGAATGGAAACACGTGATGCCAAAGACAGCCAATCTATTCTCCGCAGGCTGGTGGTTTAAGGCTAGAGTGGTGAGGGACAGGTAAGTCTACAGATCCTTCATACAGAATGTTAAATACTACCATAGACGTAAGTATGCGGTATTAGTCAAGTAGGCAGGTGTGGATAGGGGTGTGTGTGTGAGTGTGTGTGTGTGTGTGAGTGTGTGAGAAGCTTCCTGGAAGAAGTCACTGGAGCTCGTAGATGGAAATGATTAGGTTAAGAATGGAGACAGGAAGGCGCATTCAAAACAATAAAAGCAATCTGAGCCATGTGAGGGAGGCAGAGACAGCACGATATTTTTTGATAACTTTGGAAAACTAATTATGGCTGGAACGAGGGTAAGGAGAGTATTATGGAGAAAAAGTGGGATAGAGGAAGGTTGCTCAATATTCTTCCCCCAAATATTTGCCTACCATTGAGAGCAGGGCAGACATGAGTGCGATTATGAAATATATACAAATATTCATATGTATTACAACCAGTAGTATGTGCTTATTGTTCGGGAATTCTTTTGGCATATTTTCAATAAAGTCATTTAAAAAATTAGACTTAGATAGGAGCCCTCTGCTACCCCTAGGGCTATCTTAAAGACCTTTAAGGAGAATAATTCATGCTCCAGTTTGAAGGATTCAACTTAGACGTAGCACATTTTTATCTGTAGAAACTCCCAAAGTAATGGCAGACAAAAGGAAGAGGAGCACTTCCAGCCCTTTTTCCCTAACAGAATAATCTGCACAGAGTGGGAACTTAGATCTCATTGCCCTACTGAATTAAAACACTTAACCACACCACCCCCCAAAGACTCAGGCGCCTTGTCCAGTTTTCCGACTGCTGTGACAGCCAGGTGAGCAGGAGGCTGCAGGAGCAGTGCCCTGGAGGAACTCATAGCCCAGCTGTCCAGGGTGTCCCACAAAGTCGGTGGTCCTCCAGAAAGGACCCTGGTTCCACAAAATTACCTGGGAAAACACACATTGGGCAAATGGCTTCATCCCATTGGCTACGTTTCCCATCTTTAGTAATCTGACTTGCTTTCATGATCTAGTGCAAGTAACAAAACTTGCAGTCTCTAAAGTGGTAAATCATTTTATTATTTATTTATTTAATTCTATTTGGTAGGATTTATTTATTTTATTTGTAAGGTAGAGTGATAGAGAGGGAAAGAGGATGGGGAGGAGAGATAGATGATTGATAGATACAAAGATAGATAATAGATAGATAGATAGATAGATAGATAGATAGATAGATAGACAGACAGAGAGCAACAGAGAGAAACAGAGAAATCTTTCATCTACTGGTTTACTCCCCAAATAGCTGCAATAGCCAGAGCTGGTCTAGGCTGAAGCCAGGAGCCCAGAGCTTTATCCAGATCTCTTACATGGGTGGCAGGGGCCTAAGCTCCTGGACCATCTTTGTTGCCTTTATAGACATGTTATCAGGGAGCTGGATTGTAAGAGGAGTAGCCAGGACTTGAATCCACATTCTGACTTGGTATGCTGGCCCCAAAGGTGGCCACTGAACGCACTGAGCCACAGTGCCAGCTCCCAGTAAACCATACTTATAGCTAGTATAAATCTTTTTTTTAAAGATTTATTTATTTATTTATTTGAAAGTCAGAGTTACACAGAGAGAGAAGGTGAGGCAGAGGGAGAGAGAGAGACAGAGAGAGAGAGAGAGGTCTTCATCTGCTGGTTCACTCCCCAATTGGCTGCAACAGCCGGAGCTGCGCCAATCCTAAGCCAGGAGCCATGAATTTCTTCCGCGTCTCCCACGTGGGTGCAGGGGCCCAAGGACTTGGGCCGTCTTCTACTGCTCTCTCAGGCCATAGCAGAGAGCTGGATCAGAAGTAGAGCAGCCAGGTCTCAAACCAGCACCCATATGGGATGCCAGCACTGCAGGTGGTGGCTTAACCTGCTACACTGCAGCGCTGTCCACCCCCCCCCCCCGGTATAAATCTTAAAACTGATGATGATGAAAGCATCAATTGGCTCAGTAGCATGCCCAAGACAAATTCCAAGCAAAGAACAAAAACACAACCAGAGAGATTTGGCCTTGCCCAGGTTCCTCTGAACGAGAAATTCCTAAATGTGTTTTGTGTGGAATGCCGCACGGTGTACAGTTTTCAGCTTTGCAACCTCAAGGACATCAAAAAGGTTGGAGGGGATTCAAAGAAAGGTAATGAAGCTTGGCTGGGACTAACAGACGCGGGCCGGTGGCCTGGGAGCAGCACCATGCGTGAACCCCCTCCATGCCACACAGGGGAGCAAGGCTGAGACCATTACTCACGGCCCGGCTGCCTTTGAAGGATGCAGAGCCCTGCTGCGTGGTTCCTTTAAGAGGGTTTAACTGCAGGTGTGCTACCAACTCCCCTAGCTTCTTCCTGCTGCTTGACCTTTATACGTGGTCCAGCGACAAGAGGAGGGATGTCTCAGAACCAAGATCTGAGATGCAGTTTTTGAACACAATTCATTTTTATTATGAGAGTGATCCAGGAATTAACTCTGATTTCAATTTCAAAGTTATTACACTTGAAGTTGCTAATAAAAAGTGACTTAGAAAAATAATCACTTCATAATCCTGCCTAGACCGTGACAGCGCAACTGTGGTTTACAAAAGAATACTTATGCTGTACTACTTGCCCATTGGTTTTACTGAAATTTGGATTCATGGGTGATGTGAATGCGCCAAGGTAACTGACGCCCAGCGCAGCTGCTTTGCCTGGGAACCAGCAAGGTCCAGGCAGGGAGAGGCCTCAGCCTGGGGAGGTGGATGCCTTCCTTCCCAGACGGGGGCTCTCACTGCTGCCCCCATGTGGTCTGTGGGGAGTGGACGCTGAGCCCTGTGCGGGGCTGAGTCAGTGCCAGGGTGAAGAGGGTAACCAGGAGCATGAGAAGGCTTCAAGGCCCTGGGAAGTTTTTGTTTAGACGTGGAAACTGCCATTGACGTATTTGCTCCTCTCTAACCAACCAGTCCTCCCTTGGTTAGTTTCTGCTCCTGGCTACAGAACACTCTAGGCCAGGGATGGATGGTGACAGTTGCCCATTAAAGTCACGGGAGTAAAAGACACTGGCCTACACACAGCTCCCCACTCCCCACCTCCCATCACACACAGCGACACCTCCTCTTACAAAAGAGGGCAAACCCTTTGCAGGTGTCTCCCACCTACCATTCCAATCTGACTTCTCTCCCCTCCCCCACCATGGGCATCCTACACCCTCACTACTCTCACTGAATTCTTCAGTACTTTCTAAAGTCACCCCAGACAGGGAAAGAGGGTGTTAACCAAAGAATTTTTCCCAAAAATGTGCCCAAAGGATCTGGGCCAAATCATTATTCCCGAAAGTTCAGCTCTTAATATATGTTTCTTTCCCTGGGCCATTTTCACAGTGTGATGAATTTTTTTTTTTCCTGAATTCCATTCACAGAATAGGGGTAAAGACTCTGACACCTGGTTGTGGCCACTGCCACAGACAATGGAAAGTGTTCACCTGAGCGCCAAAGGCCCTGTGTGTGTCCCCTCGTTGGCTCCTACCAGGAATGCTATGCAGTGTGTGCTTTAGTAACCCTTTGTCAGGCTTACAGCATTAAAAATAATTTGCCGAAGGCCACCTAGTGAATAAACAGTAGGTGTGCAATCCTACCTAACCAGGTCTGGCTCCCAAGCCTATACAATTTCCATTATTCTATGTTTCTCCCGAAGGACGAAGGAAGCAGCGGTAGGAAGTACTGTTGAAGCAATCAATAGACCAATCTGTATGAACATCTGAGGAGCACTATATCATCTTCTTTGATCTTTGCTTTATTTCTTTCCATGTCTTCTAGGAATATTTAATGGCCAGAAAAATGAGCCAACAGAAAGATTCCAGGTTCCACACCATGCTGATTTTTCTTAAATATCTCAGTCACCAGAAAAAGAGCTATCTTAGTTTTTTTTCTCAGGGCCAGCTCTGTGGCATAGTGGGTGGGGCCGCCGTCTGCAGTGCTGGCATCCCATATGGGCGCCGGTTCGAGTCCCGGCTGCACCACTTCCAATCCAGCTCTCTGCCATGGCCTGGGGAAGCAGTAGCAGTCCTTGGGCCCCTGCATCTGTTTGGGAGACCCAGAAGAAGCTCCTGACTCCTGGCTTCGGATCAGCAGAGCTCTGGCTATTGTGGTCAAGTGGGGCGTGAACCAGTGGATGGAAGACCTCTCTTTCTCTCTCTCTCTCTCTGCCTTTCTGTAATTCTGCCTTCCCAATAAATAAGTAAATCTTTAAAAAAATTTTTTTCTCTTAACAGTTTCTGTCTTAGTCTCAGTTGCTTGAAGAACCTGGGTGGAGGTTGAAATTTATTATTATTCCCCTGTTTCAGTCTCTAGAGTGTAGGCATGTTGTCACTCAGTAGATCTCTTTAGGGCACCCGAATTTAGACTTCAGGGGGCAACTGGACATTGGAGCAATCCTTGCTTTTTCCCTTTTAAGGAGGAACTAAAAAAAATAAAGAAAAAACTAAGTGAATTTGTTCCAAGTCAGGACTCACTATTCCCCTTAGCAACCCCAGGCACTTCAGTGTCACAGGTTACTTTTCCATGTCTCTTCATCTCATTCCAGCTAAAAAGCTTAGGACTAGCATTTTCTGATGAGCACAGGGATGGAGGAGGAGAACTGAGTCAAGTCCTCCGGGGCTTCGGGTTAGGATTCTTTGTTAACCCCTGCCCGTGATCCCCTCAGTGGAGATTTGCCACATCAGAGAGAGCTGAGAGTTATCCATGGATTACACTGTATAATTAGACATCTGCTCTGCACCTCCCAGCCAACCAGAACAACGGCAAACTCAGGAGGCAAAGACATGAGAAGAGAGAAAGATACAAAGATTGAATAATAAAATGGGTGAGTTGGTTAGCAGAAGCACAAGAAAAGAGTGTAGTCCTAAGCTGGCTAAGGCTGGAATCATTAAACCCTGAGGGTACCCACAAAGTACTGGGATGGCGGAGTTGGTGGAGAACATGAAGAGAGAGAGAGAAAGTGAGAGAGAGAGAGAGAGAGCATACTAGCATACTTAAGGTTGGAGTGATATGGACAAGTGAAATGGGACAAAGTCAAGCAATTAGGGATGAACATTAAGAAGCTGACCCAGTGGCAGTCCAAGTGGAGATCAGGAGGAACAATAAAATATACTGGACTGGGAGAAGGCAACAAAATAAGGAAAAGAATGAACGATTTGTGAACACTGAGTTTAGGTGCAAGCTATGTCCATCTGTAGTTTGGGTTACTCTATCAAAAAATGCAAACTATGTAGCTCTTAGCAATAAAAATTTATTGTTTACAATTCAGAAAATGGGCATGTCCAACATGGAGGCACCAGTAGATATGGATCTGCCAAGGGTCTGCTTTCTACTTCATAAATGGTGCCTTTTATCTGTCCCCAAGGTGGCAGGGGATGGCCAAGCTCCCCTGAGCCTACATTATGAGAACACCAATCCCATACCTGAGGGGAGGCTCTCAATAACCTCCCCAAAGACCCCACTCTCCTAGTATCATCACTTGGGAGTGAGGATTTCAACATATGAGTTTTGAGAAAGACATATTTAGCTCATGGCACTGATTTGCACATCTCAAAGGATCCTGAGGTTGGCATCACTAGATGAGAGCAAAGTACCATAACTAAGCCTTACTGAGCATAACTGGACTGAGCATAACTTAGCGTAGTGGGCTAAGCCTCTGCCTGCAGCACTGGCATCCCATCTGGGCACCAGTTCATATCCTAGCTGTTCCTCTTCCAATCCAGCTCCCTGATGATTGCCTGGGAAAGCAGTAGAAGATGGCCCATGTTCTTAGACTCTTGCACCTGTCTGGAAGATCTGGAAGAAGCTCCTGACTCCTGGCTACATCTCAACCCAGTCTGGCCATTGTAGCTAGCTGGGGAGTGAACCAGTGGATGGAAGACCTTTCTGTCTCTCCCTCTCTCTGTCTGTAACTCTACCTTTCAAATAAATAAATAAAAATGTTTAAAAGAACATTTTCAGTTATGAGTATATTAAAATGAAGACTATGGAGATCTGTGATAAATTTTAGATGGGTTTTAATAAAGTATAATTGAGATTTAAGTTTATCAGTGAAAGGCTAAGTATTCACCTATTTGCAAGTATCACAGGCTGCTAACCATCTGGGCCACAATGTCATTTGCTGTGTTTGCTAAGGCACAGAATAAGTGTGGGTGACCTTCAGAGACAGGACATGGCTCTCACTTCTGGGTCACAGGCTCCATGGGGAGAGATGAAGGTGGTGTGAAGTTGCCAGGCTCAGGGAGCAACTGAAGGCATTTAACAGGGGATGTATCATAAGTGGGGCTGTGTTTTAGAAATTTAGTTCTGACAGGATACCAATTGGAAGCTGTAATGAGAGAACTGGCAGCAGGGCAGGCAGGGACTAGAGAAAAGCAAGTGAGGCACTCATTTTAGATGCAAAATATAAGGGATGCCAAATCCCCAGTTAACAAGATACTTAATATTTCGGTGCAATACTTTAAAAATCAAAATTTATACAGAAAATCATGTGGAACAAAACACCAAAATTTTAAATAAAGAGTCTCAGCCGTGACATTTGGGAACTCCCAGGAGAGCCTGGATGACGAAGAGAGATGTTTTCAGAGGCAGGATTAGGTGACTGCTTCAATATGCGCAAAGAGTGAGATGGAGAAATCAAGGATAAAGCTCGGGTTTATAACTCAGCTGGTGCTGTCAGCCACCAGCCTGAGCAATCAAAAAGAAGTCAGTTTGGGACAGATGAGTCCTGCTGGGAGTCTGTGACAAGGGATGTGTGTGTGGTTATCAAAAGGAGGAGATCCAGCTAATGGTTGGGAACATGGACCTCATGCTTGGCTGAGAACTCTGGGCTGGCTAGAGAGAGTAGTGTGTACAGGGCAGCCTGCCCAGGGAGCAGGTGTATGGGGAGAAGGGACAACTGAACATAATAAGAAAAACCAGTAGTCACATTTATGGAGACGTAATCTGTGCTTGCTACTCCACTGAGCAGTTTACAAGCTTTATCTAAAAAAATCTTCACAATCCTGAAGGTCTACACTATTACTACCCTCATTTTAGCGATAAGGAAATAGACCTGTAGGTAGTCAGGATTTGACAGCAGGAAGTAAATGACAAAAGCAGGACACAAACTCCGAAAGTCTGAAGAAAGGAGGGAGGCAGCCTGGCTCTGCAGTGTGACGACCAGAGTTTGCGTCCCAGCCTCTTGGTTTCTGGGCAGTGTCACCTTGGCCAGCATGCCCATATTCCCTGAGCCTCTGTTCTGCATCTGTAAAATGGGGTTAAGAAACAAATCCCACAGGATGGCAGTGAAGGTGAGACAGGAGTGGGTGTCGAGTGGGTGACACCCAGTGGCGGCCCAGGATGACCTAGCAAACATCACGGTCATTAGGAACATCCAAGGGCTGTGCAAATGTGGGAAGGGGCCTTGGTGGAGAGGATTCCAGTGAAGGGACGAGGATGGAGAGCTAAGAGCAGCACCAGGGATATCGGGTCAAGCGGAAGCAGGTGGAATTAGCACAACAGGCATTTGGCCCATTGGTAGCTATTGATGTTCTAATCAGAAATGCAGCAGCTTTAGTGGCATGGTGGGGCATGAAATGATGGTGAAGGGAAGCTAACAGATATGGACAATGGTTCCCAAAAGCTTGGTTCCAAAGGAAAGAAAAGGGAGGACACAGAGGGCAGATGGAGCTCTTCTCTCTTCCACTCATGCCACAAGATGGGAGAAATTGGGGCCTTTTCCCCTCCGTGCAAGGGGAAGTCCAGGAAGAGTGAAAAAAAGCACCATGCCTTAAAACAATGCTCACTCGTCACTTTGAATAATTTAACACGTTTACAATGCTTTTACATCCATGAGACATGGAACCTTCCAAACAATACCACAGAGAAGATTAGACAGATGGACCCTCAAATTTATGAATATTGAAATGAAGACCAAGGAGGAGATTAGCGCTAGACTAAAAAATGACAACATGGGAAAAATAAGAGCATCCCTGCCCATCCCAGTTGGTGGGCAGAATTGAGGCCATGGGTGATTCTAGAAGAGCCAAGAAGGGGCGGAGTCTGGAAGAGCATTACTTGTAGAAGGGACATAGGTGAGAAGGCCTGGCAAGGCCGGAGTGAATGAGACAGAAAGGGACTTTAGCTGCTCCCTGACAAAGTCTAATCCACAAGGGAGATGTATGAAAAGGATGACTGTCAAGTTTACCTTGGCATTAAGAATAGTCTAGGGGCCGGCGCTGTGGTGCAGCAGGTTAACACCCTGGCCTGAAGTGCTGGCATCCCACATGGGCGCCAATTCTAGTCCTGGCTGCTCCTCTTCTGATCCAGCTCTCTGCTGTGGCCTGGGAAAGCAGTAGAAGATGGCCAAGTCCTTGGGCCCCTGCACCCATGTGGGAGACCCCGAAGAAGCTCCTGGCTCCTGGCTTCGGATCAGCGCAGTTCCAGCCATTGCGGCCAATTGGGGAGTGAAGCAGTAGATGGAAGACCTCTCTCTCTCTCTGCCTCTCCTCTCTATGTGTAACTCTGACTCTCAAGTAAAAAATAAATAAATCTTCATATATAAAAAAAGGAATAGTCTAGACTTTGAATTTTCTGAATACCTTGCATGAAGATTGGAATTGTTTGCAGTGTTTGTGCTTTATGGGAGCCCTGAGTACACAGGGCATGGTAATATTTGGATTATATGTGGCTGGCAGATGGTGGCACCAGACTTGAGCCCAAGGCGGCTTATGCACACCGTCCTACACACCAGCCCACATTGCTTTTGTTCACAAGTGAGACTCTGGTTTGCAAAAGTAGAGTACAAAAGAAAAATTCTTTTTTGTTTTAACGGTGAGGATTCCAACCTCAGCTCCACTAAGGATCACAAACAAAGTTTCCAGAGAGATAAAAGATTAGGGATAATTTGCATACTGCTAGTAAGATGGGAAAAGGCTTTTATTTCATTTGATTTATTTAATAATCATTGAAGGCTGGATGTCATGCTGAACTTGGAGTGTCTTGTGCAGAGAAACTAAAAGCAGGCCAAACTAAAACTGTTCACTGAGGTGACCCACGCCAGAAACCATTCATGCTGGACCAGAATTAGACTCATCAGCATGCACCTGATGTGCCCTTTGGAAAGTGTGTTAAGGGTTTTATGTAAGAAGTGGCATTTCATCCAGATTTGCTCATTTGCATACTTGGGATTTCATTAGCATATATTTTACTATGCTGTGCTCTGGAAATACAGTCTCTTGGCTTATTCCCTTCTTTAAATTCCTTACATCCTCTACAACACCAAAGGATGTAGAGGACCCAATATTGGGGAAAGCATTCTTGTTAGAAACGAAGACGAATGTGAAGGTTCTGCGTCCAATCTGCCACCAGAACTGGTTTTATGCCTTTAAATATCTTGAGGATGTGCTGACCCCCTTTCTGTTCCCATGGCATCACCTCTCACTTCCTAACTGGACTCCTGGCCTCCAGCTCACACCCTCACATCTCATCTCTTTCCTGCTTCCCAAATGCTTCCCTAAAACACCACTCACCCAGTGCTCAGTGGCCTTCATGGTGACCTCTTGGCACTTTACAAATTGATTTCTTTGAGAGGCACAGAAAAACACAAGAAAAAGAGGCAGAGAAAGAGAGAGAGTGAGCTCTCATTCACTGGTTCACTGCCTGAACGTCTACAGTGGCAGAGAGTAGGCCAGGCTGAAGCCAGGAGCCAGGACCTCAGTCTGGGTCTCCCTCATGAGAGGGAGCAGCATCCCAACTACTTGAGCTCTCACCTGCTACCTCCCAAGATCTGTGTTTGCAGGAAGCTAGAATTGGGGGTGGAGCCAGGACTTGAATCCATGCCCTGTGATGTGGTATGCAATCTTCCTAAGAGCTAGGCCAAGCACCCTCTCCTAAGGTCACTTTTGTAGTATTAGGCTCATCGCTTTACAAGTTCTTAACATCTGACATTGTGAAGCTGCCAAAATTAACACCTGTGTTCACTGGTTTCCCCATAAAAGCGAAGGAAGGCCTTCACAGTTCCGCATCACCCTGTCTTACATCTTCTAAGAGGTTGGAAAGTAAGCCAAAAGGTCATGGAATGTGGAATTAAAAGATAAGGATATTTCTGGAACGAAAAAGTTGGAAATCCATGCATTTTTTCCATGAACATTTGAATATCTCTGATATTGTGTCTTCACCAACTCAGTTCCTTTTTAGGGCAATGAGGAAAGTAGAACAGACTGGAAACGTTCTTTTAATTCCTTTTTGTGTCATGAAAAAGGAAGACTAGAGAAAGAAAGGAAAGGAGAATGGGTAGAAGCAAATGGCCTTTTGAAAGGATGAGATCTGGGAGAGTTTAGAGAAAGTGGTTGGAAGGGAAACTCCTGGGCAGCTCTCTAACCTGAGATCAAGGAATCTAAAATGTAGACATGGGCTGAGGTCAGATACTTGGAGAGGAAATTCAAGCTGAGTTTCAAAGGAAAATCAAGACATGGAGAAAAACTGAATAAAATCGTTAGGGTATTGGTTCAACAGCTTTAACAGTGACCAAGATAATAGTAAAGAAGAAGAGTTTTTTTGTCTCAGCAAAAAAGTCTGGACACCAGGAAGTTAGGGATGATCTATGAGGTCCCAAAGGAGGCCCATTCTTGCCATCTTATTGACCCCATAGGCATTGTCCTTGTCCATATGAGAACTGCTGAGTCATCCCCTCACATCTGTATTCCAACCCAATAAGGGAGCAAAGAAGATGTGGAGTCTCCTTTTAGGAGCAGAATCTCTGAATTGTGCACACCACTCTATTCATGTTCCTCATACCTGAACATTAACAGATGGCTGTACCTAGCTGCAAGGGAGGCTGGGTAATGTGGTCTGCAGGTACATAGATCTAGGCCAGGCAAAGACTCAGGCAGGAATGTTACTCAGGCAAACTGAAGAATAACTAGAAATCTTTGCACTCATAGTGAGACACATAGCAAAGCCCAAATCTCAACAATGTTGAGTAGGCTGTAGAGTTTGAATTATCTGCATTCAGATGGCAGAGATGAGGTGTTCTGGGTTTCAAGGGTAGCAAGAGCATAGATATAGAAAGATTAGATGGTAAATCTGTGTATGTGGGGTGATTGACATTGTATTGTAGCAGGTCCATGACTCTGGCCCTGACATGGGTCTCCAGTTCAGAGGTCAGCCGATTTTTTCTGTGAAGAGACAGATAATACATATTTTATGCTTTGTGAGCCAATCTCTCTCAAATCTTTCCAACTCTGCTGTTGGGAGATAAAAACAGCTTAACATTACACAAGCCAATAGACG